ACAAATTCTCCTTGTCAGCACCTTAGGAAATGTATAAAGAACAGTGTGAAGAATGTGCATACTGATGTTAGGGTGTAAAGCGTTAAACCATCCTCCGAATTCCAAAGTGGGAAAAAATTTCACGAGAACAAAATAATTTTTCAGGGTCGTGAGTGGAAGCCCAAAGCAACGAGAGGCCACCCAAATGGAAAGCCATTGTTTTAGCAAGTGTAACAATGGCCACAAAAATGTCTGTGCTCAAAAAGTACCCAAAGGATTCATTATCGGCTTCGTTTTCGAACAGAGGCTCAGGGCATATCGGAAAAGGCCCGATCCCTCGAGGCTGTACCGTGTGCGTATTTTTTTTCGTTCCAAAAAAAACTCCTCTGCCATAAATCATAATTGGATAAAGCTGAAGTACCTACCACGACTTCCTCCTGGGTTTGGGGCTTTCGTTGGGGCAGAACCAACACCTATAAAACAAAGAATAAAACTGAGAACCAAATTTCGCCGATTCTATCGAAGGACATGGCTTTTGTGTACTTCTTTTCATATTCCGATCTCTGTCAATTTGACTTAGTTTTTCTCAATCAAACGTTTCTTCTTGGAGTTGCTCTTGAAATCAGTTTAAAGCTGATCAAGTAGGAAGGATGCTTCTATCCATGAAATCTTCCTTGAAAAACTCTGTGTCAGTTAATCTTTTTAATTACTTCAATAGTATTGAATTCAAATTCAACTCCCAAAAGTATCACCTCTTTTAAATCAAGGTAACGAGAACAGAGGGACGGATTGAGAAATCCAAAAGCTCCTGATTGCTAGACAAATTATTCTTGTAAGTATCGCTTGACGGTCACTTCGCTCCAACCAAAGTTAGATCGCTCCGCAATAGAAGTTAATCCGCTCCATGTAAAAAAATGTTGAAATGTTGGCGTGAACTTTTTGTCATGTCGATGATCGACTGTTTGAGAAGTCCGAGCCTATGTCATTTCAGCCTCTATTCGCTTTAACTTTCCTTAACACGGATTTTGTACGTTTTCATACCCAAAAAGCCGCGTTTTTTCGTTGGAGGAATATTTCAAGCGTCTTTCTTAAATCAACTTGGCATCGCGAACGGCCCTATAGTTTTGCTTACGAGAAGACGACATAATAACCTCATCATACCACTTTTACCTCGCGTGATTGGTTGAAAACTTGCCATGACAACCAACGCACACGCACGATTCATATTTTGAGACTTCACAGCGTCAATCTCTTAACGTACACAAGTTCATCTCTACGAACTAATTAATGTAAATGATAATGTAAGAGATTCATGACAACTCTTCGCGCGTAGTAAGATTTTACATTTCAATCAAATTATGTTTCAAGTTTTTTTTTGTTTTCTTAAAGGATATAATTGTGAAAAGCTTCAACTGTTTTTCACTGTTAAGTCCTTGCTCTCATTTGATTTGTTTGTGAGGTTGTTTACCCTGAATGTGTATTCTATTTATTCCATTGGCGATCATTGCTATCATTTTATTTGATGGCTCCTAAAGCTGCCGTCTGTTTGTTTTGTTGTTTTATTTGCCTATTCTACCGGTCCATCGAGATATGAATATAGCTTTCAGCAACCATTTGGCTGAACGTTCTTTGGCCTTGCACTCGTCGCAAAACAGTTTGGTCTACAGCTCGCGGTGCTTGCTGTCGTTGGATTCTCTTAAGTTTCCCGCCAGAAATAAGGCGAGACGTATGGGGGATTCCCGTTCCACAAGCACAAGGTTGCTAACGGAGACAACCGTCCCATTGGAGGCCTTATTGACGCACTCTTACTGGATTTTGGCAAGCAAACTATTTGCAGACATGTCATTGAAATTTTGACTTTTTTGATTACGTTGCGATTGGAGCTCAATGCTGTTATGATTCCTCGTAAAACAAAGACAGATCCCTTTGATCGCGATTTTCTTTTTGGGAAAAATGCGTAAGGATTGAATGATTAGAGCAATTTTTGCTCACTAATTAATTACTGATGTCTCGCCTTTAGATCAACATTTGTCTACACATCACGCGTGGGCAACACGCGTGACAAGAAAACAACAACAACAATACAGTCTTGATTACGAAGGTTGGACTTAGCAGTTCAGGGCGTTTCGCTGTAAGTTCACTAATGCAAGAGTGATAAAGAACCTTGTAAAATGACACAAACAGCTCAGTTAAGGTGGCATTCAACTTTTTTAAAATAAACAAGTTTGAAAGGTTAAGTTCGCGCGTTCCCTGTGTTGTGCCAAAAAAAAAGCTTGAATCAACATAGGTTCGCACATCACACGTGGTTTTCATTCCGATCGAAGAAAGCATATATGCACTTAACACTAAATTATGTCATGGAGAGTGAAGTCACTTCTGTCTGGGGCGAACTGACTTGAAGCGATCTGACCATGCGGCGAAGTGACCGGATACCAGAGGTTTGGCTGATTTGTTAATATAAAGCCCCATAGGGAAGGCGTGATCATTGGAACTTAAAACTTAAAGAACGACTGTAACATGAAGTACACATTTAAATCATAACCAGTACAAATTCCCTAAATGTGATTGATGGATTAGCTGCTTTATTCTTCACTTATCATTATGAGCAGTTGTAATAGGACAGTTGACTGTAATCGGACACCTGTAGCAGCCAATCATACTTCGTTCTTCAGCCAAATCCACCAGTCACATAACTGATCACAATAACTATAAAAACAACCACTTATCCTTAGAAAAACTGTAAAATACCCAAAATTGAGGAATTTTTTACTTTAGGCATTCTATCTACCAAATATATTTTTCCAAAATGTATTCGTTGTTTTCAGAAATTGGCGCTTTTATGAGTAACTGGTGATAGAACTTTGCATGCGTTGTCAAATTCGGTCTGTAATTATGCTCAAGATTGACAAGTTGGATCCCCGCTTCGCAGTCGTTTGCTTCTGTCAATGACTCGTATGATTACGGACCGAAATAGATTCCACTCGGTCCTATTACCATTATTAATTATCATGATGTTACACATATTGATCTTCACCATCTACTCACAGAAACCGCAGGATAGTCTGCAATGTGCCTTGACATACTCCTGAATACTTTCATCCGTGTCTTTACAATAATCATATGACTCGCTCTTATACTCTTTGATGACGTCTGCGCAGTGCTCGTTATCATCCCTGCAGTCTGTAATAAAAAGACAAGCACAGTACAAAGGCGCTCACCTGAGAGAGACTCCTGAAAGCGGAAGGGTCGGGCAAGGGAAGGGTAGGGAAACCTTTAGAGGTGTACCCCTCGGCTTACCATACCTATCTCGTACCCAAACCTTTCACGGCCGAGCATTTCAGTTACAGCTCAGAGGGGATCTGGGTACGAGCTTACTCCACATCTTGACTCTACTTCAGATCGAGGCGTGCAGTCAGTAAAACGGAGAGAACAAACGAACGGCGCCACAGTAGCAGTGAAACGTAAAAAGGAAGCAGGTTTGGGTTCCAGACCTCCCTCGTTTTTTCGCCAAGCCGCTTCTATTGCGCTTTGTTTCACAGACCGAATGCCTTGAACAAGCTAGACATGTCATTTTTTACATCTGTTTAATGATCTGTCCTCTGAAAGTTGGCAAGGTTAGCGAATTCACAACGCATAAACGCAACATTGACGCGTGGTTAAGCTTAGTGATAAATATTTGTACAATTCACCCAAAAATTCAGCTCGTATGATTGTCTGGTTACTTCATTATTATGATCTTTGCTCTGTTAGAGAGAAGAGGTTGTATTATATTTTCAGCTCGTGTTGACATTCACACGTGATTGCGGAGAAATATTTTTCTGAATTAGGAAACGTGTGTTGATGCATTTCCGATGATCAAATGCTTTTGTGGCTCTTGTTAGAACACAGCCCGATTTTATACCATAATGGTGAAAATCCAGTCCCTATTTCAGACCAAAGCAGTTCAAAACCCAAAGGATTTTTAACTTTCTGGAATTCCTGTCTGCGGACACACGAAATTCCCCAATAAGTAGTCTCTGAGTCGTTTAACAGAAGCAAAATTTAAACACAAACAATACCTTCGTCCATTCTGAAATTTGCGTCGAACATGCGCCTCAGATGAAATTCACGCAGGGTCCTCAAAGCTGTAGGGAAAAATTCAAATGTTAATTTTAAAGTTGAATTTTTTCCGAGAGGGAGAGAATGAGATTATGATTGTGAATGATTAAAATGAGAGAAAGAACGAAGTGGCGAAAGAGCGTGTCTCTCAATCAGTCAGTGAAGTTAAGTAATAACAGATTAATAGAGGTAATCACTTAACAATACCTCTAGCTCTTAACGCATCGTATTCCCTCTGGTATTTAGCGTCGAGATACTCATTTTTATCATATGCGTCGTAGCGTCTCAAAGCTGTTAAAAAAAATAATAAAAAATTACAGTGCACTTTTGAGGGAAACTTCGTTCGAAAGGAACAACAAAGACGTGCGAACCTCTTTAAAAGCGATCACTAAAATATGTATTTTTCATGATATTACTACATAAGGATAATTATACAAAGAAAATGAAAGAATTGAAAAAATAGACGCCACGAATTTTTGCCGAAGTTTGGGTAAGAGATTGAAACATTCAAGCTCTAACCAAGCCCGTGAAAAAATCCGTGATGATGTTTGGTTTATAGCGAATTGCTGCCTGTCAGCCGTATTTGGGGCTGTGCCAATTGCAAGTGAAAAAAAAAACCCTAATCGCCTGGTGTCGATATCTGATTTTCCCGCACGATCAGGAATTTTTTTTTTTATTTCATTTTTCACCGTAGCAAATGATGCCAACGATTTCTCCTGTAGTTGTGTGCACAGTAACTGTATTATGATTATTGATACTGAAAGTCGAACTCGCTGGGAAAAACTCACAGTGGGCCAAATTATTTGAAACATCAGATATCCATGGATTATTTACGGAAATGGTTAGTTAGATCTAGAAGTTCCGAATATGCCATAATTCTTTAACTATATTATAGCAAAGGCACGCGTGCAATTAACTTGTGATTTTGTCGTAAATTTAAAAAATCAGAAACGTTTTTCGCTGGAACGTTTATCCCTTTCGTACACGTTTGCTGATGTTTGCACAGTTCGAGTGAAGAATAATCATTGCCAACGAGCAAAGCAACTTATTGTTGCGTTGAAGATAGTTAAACATACATGTTTACCTCGCTCTCGTAGGATATCTCGCAGGGTGTAGCTTTGGACCAGGCCAAAGAGAGCTACAAAACCAAGCAAAAGGAGTATTTTGTCCATTTCGAGGAGAAAAATGTTCAAATTACCAGCTCACTATTTACGCTCTGCAGGCGGTTAGTTTCAACTGAAGACAAGTACAACGGATTGCTTCAATTTAACTCTTGTTTTGATTGACACTTTGAAAACGCGGACGCTTCTAACGGAATTTTTGGCGGCTTCCTCTCCCACGCATAGTCAAAACGTCAGTTTGAAATAGCAATGACTTTGAAGCGTTTTTTTGAAGGGCACTGAAAATATCTTAAAAGAAAGGTTTCACTTAAACATTTGAAAAATAGCAAAATCATTGGTAGAACTGGATGCACGATCAGTTTTGCTTTTATATGTCAACCTTTTAAAATCATGTTAGGGGATTTTGGGATTTAATTCAAAAAATGCTCTTTGTCTTGCGCACACAACAAACAAATTACATCGATGAAAACAATTGCCAGATTTATCACAACAGGGGTCGATTATTCCCCGGTAACAAAAATATCGTAGCCGGCAAAGTCAATATTTATACAATTTTTGGAGGGAAAAGACGTTAAGAATAAAATTTATGGTCGAAATTACCAAATTTAGGATTAAACGTCGCGAACGCAAGAAAGTTTATACTTTAGCGTTTGTGGGAGTTTGAAAATATCTCAAGTTCGTTTCCTATCATTTGTCAAATTGTTATCATCCGCGAAATGGGAGTCTTCTTCCGATGTCAACGAGTTAATGACCTTTGTAGATGGACATTCAAAATCTCTGGAATATTTAAACTTTCTTTTCATTTCTAGAAAAAAAAACTGCTTTTAGTGAAGCATTCCGTGTCTCAAATAGTAAGGAAAGATATATTAGCGAAACAGATTTGCGTCGTGGGAGGAAATAATTATCTAGAAGGGTCGCAAATAAATTGTTTTGCAAGGTTATCGTGTTTTTCCTTCTGTTATGACCTTCAAAAGATCGAGAGTAATTTCAAGCTTTAGTTGATAGCATTAGGAGGATCTTTTGTTATTTCTCAAAGCATCACGCGATTTCGAGGCGTCTCTGGTCAAAAAATTCGTTAGTGAGAAGATTTGTCCTTATTCAGGTGTGGCAGAATTTTAAAATTCCTCAGCTAGTGCCAGCCCGCCCTCTGAAATTTTTATCCCTTATAAGTTGTGATGAAAACCAGAAATAGCTATGAAACACAAGTGTTAAATATTTTCGCAACATTTTTTTGCTAGCCTCGTTTTACACTCAATTTGTGTTAGGAAGCATAGCCGGTTGCCCTCGCCGCGTTTGGTTATCTCTGCAGAGCGACAGAAACTACGATAACTAGTTCTTTTGTATTTAAGATTATGACTGGATAATTCCTCAATCCGCATAATTCTTTCTATGTCTGTCAAATGTATACACTACACAGGAAGCAAAAGGAAATAATCTCAACGAACATTATTGTAAACCAATCAACAAACTCGTATGGAAAAAATAGTTTGTCTTTACAGCACCGGTTTAGTTTCTAATAACACACTAATCTTTGCGGCACACTGCCCTGTGTAAGCTGTTTTATCAGCGCAGCCAGGAAAAATTGAAGGCGTTTCTTGGGCTGATTCCATACATTGGGCACATGCATGCAGGCGCCAAATGTTTAGGGAGCAAATAACGGACCGAACCACGTCAATGAATGCTAAATGGGGGAGATTAGATCGGATTAAAATTACGAACCTGAAGTTGGCGTGAATTTTAATACATGGTCATTGAAAGAGGTACATGAGAGCTTTTGTCATCCTCTTTTATTTGGAAAGACCGGTCGCGATCGCGTCGATCGACCAGTATAATATTCGTATGCACAAACGAGGCGTAAAGTTTGATTTTTCTTAGAATAGAATTAAATAGAATAGTTTTATTTGAATAGAAACGTCGCAGTTCGCAGACTGAATTGCGTTAAAATACAATTATGATAATAAGTAGAGTAAAAAGTTGATAACAGTGATTTACAATAATGTTAGGAACTATGGTATTCATATAAGTTAAAAAAATTTATTTAAAAAATTCTATACTACTCAATGAAGTCTAACCAAAGTCTCCCATAAGATGTTGCAAGGCGCCATGAGCTTGTGGATATTTCGTGCTTTTGAGGGTTCCGCGAAAGTGCTTTGACACAAGAGAAAAAGACAAAACAAATAATAGCACATCATTCTCTTTTGTCATAGAGGAAAGTTTTTGTTACGACACTTTTATGAATCCTATTGTATGATATTTGATTCACAAATACCAATCTAATCATCGGTTCTAACTAATCAGTTCATAAAGAAATTTATAAAGACATTTCAGTATACATTACGTAATAAAGAGTGCTGAGCATCTGCGGCTTAAATCATGGAACAACTAAGTTAGCATGAGCCCCATTTAAAGATTATTGCATGGTCACAATACAGGCAGACCACACTATGTGTTCGTGGGTAATTATTTTTGACATAAGACGAACAAAATCTATGAAGTTTACAAATGAAGCTCTGAAAATTGTCTATCTAAACTTCTTCTCGGTCTCAATATCTCAATAAAGTTAAACGAAATGTTAATCGATGCATTTGTGGTATTTTTTGCCTTCATGAGCCGTTTGGAGCGTTCTTTCGCAGAATTGTCTTTGGCTGGCCTAAAGTAATTTCGTAAAAAAGACGCTGCAAACGGGCCGTGGAGGCGAAAAATATCGCAAATGCATCGATTAACATTTCATTTAACTTTATTGAGATATTCCGACCAATATGTAATTTTTGTATGCAATTTTCAGAGCTTTATTCATAACCCTCACAGATTTCGTTCGTCTTATGTCAACAATAATTAACCTCAAACACATAGTGTGGTCTGCTTGTGGTCACAATCAAATCCCAGTGATTCGAGTCCTGCCTGTCTTATTTCCCCCTGTATTAAAATGAAACATTCCAGTTTTAGATTCCCTCTTTCGGATCGCTTAAAATATTTCATTAATATTCTCATAAACAATTAAATGAAAATGATAGGGGCAAGGGTATTATTTCCATAATCTTTTATGGATGCCAGGTCTAGGGAGGTCGAGAGATCCTGAGTATGAGGTCTAGGTTGCAAAGGCAACTTGGTCCATAGCGTTACCGCTGTTTTGTCCTAGTGTTCAAATTTAATTAAATTTAAATTTAGTGCTGTGAAAACAGTCGGCGTCAAGCTATTTAATTCACAATGCTTCTGCTCCTGTTTAATACTCGATCTCATCTGAATAGGAACGGTCTTGTGCACGATGATTAACCTTACAACCTACTGGTAAATGGTATTACTGCATGCAAATTTTACATCATTTTCATGACTAATCATTTTCCTTCGACGAAGGAGAGAGAGAGGTAGCGTGCATCTGGTGGCCCTCTCTTTGCCACGCCCTTTGTTTGGACTCTAACCAGGCCAGTTGGAGTTGTACTACCTAAACCCCAACCAAATATTAAATTACGTAATGAGATAAAAATCTGGATTGGCAATTGTTATGTAACAAGATGATTCTTTTTTATAGTCGTACGCCAACAGACCAGAGTTGTCTTGTGTCAAAGCGTTGGAGAAGTAACATCTCCATTTTTTGGCTCTTGAATCTTTCGTTCCGTCAAACAGGGCATACAGGGGAGATGAACATCCATCCTTTGTCATTCCCTCACAGAAGAGATTTCTTTTGGAGCTGATAACCTCGTCTGAAAAGGAAACCAACGTATAGAAAAGAAGCTACTTTTAATTTTGAAACCTTTTATAAATTGCATTCCCAATTGAAGCTTTAAAATGCAGGTTTAAGTCATATATTACATATCGACCGGGAGGATCTGATGCAACATCAAATATTATTAACAGTAAATGAAAAAGAGTTTCACAGAAATGGAACAACTAATGGCACGAATGAAAGGTGAGTAAAGTACTGGGCTGAGATCTTGTTGCCTAGGTTACCTTTAAACGCACCCAGGTAAACCCCAGAAAAAGTAGAAAAATTTCTTATCTGTTTTGTTTTCACGACACCCCTTTGTTGAAAACTTTGTAATACGTGTTTTATCGCCCCCATATATGGTACTGTTCCACGTGTTTACAACGGGACGTTGTGTGTGTGTTTCCTTTCGAATAAGCCGAGAATTTTGAGTGGGAGTTAACTGAAGCGTTGTGGTAAAATCGTCAAATCAAGTGAGTAAATTGTGAGTTAATAGTTAAGTTGTGAGTTAGGAAACGTGGTACAGCTTTTTCACGTTTTCGACACCTTGGCAAAGGCACACAATTCAAAGACAACCTACAGACCTGGAAACGTGCACTCTGCCGACGTCTCCCTAGTAACTTGACCCACCACCTGACCAGAAAGGAGCGATGACCAGTCGAAAAAATTTCCTCCCGTAGAATCACATCCTCGATACATCGCAAGCAATATCGTCGTAGACAGCGTCCTGTTCCAAATGTTCAAATGGCTGATCTCCCCGACAAGACCGTGCTCCTGTTTAATTGTATCTGAGCCAGTTCTGTACCTTTGTCCGAGCAATAATTCACCCTTTCCTTTAATTTCCTGATAATTAAAAAAAATATGTGTTTTAGTAAGACACGCAAAAACAACGACAACCACAACAACAACAACAACAAAATGGGTATAAGAAAAATCTGTACTCGAGTTTAAAGCCTATCGAGCAGGACGTTATCCCGTTTTCCTATCCCCTTTTAGGTTAGTGAAATATTAACCCCCAGTATTTCATCCTACTTCCCTGACAATTGCGCGCATCCATTTACTCTCCAAAATGGAAAGAGGCACTGCAGAGTTATGTGTTCTACCCAGGAACACCCGTCCAGTACTCGAACCCAGACCTCTCGATCCGGAGTAACTAACTATTGGAATACCGCGTCTAAACGAGACACATTTACTCAAAAAAAAATTATATATACTACCACGCCCGGCTGAAGGCCAGAGCCACTTTTGACACTTTCTCCATTGACGTATAGCTTCCAGTTGCCTGCGCCATTTTCCCACGTGACACAAATATGTTGCCACCCAGTTTCTTCAAAGAAGTCGTCATAGTCAACATTCCTGTTAAGCAGTGAAAATGTGAATCAATCATCTAATTTCTCCTTACAATATCACCCCTGAATCACACATTAAGGTCCAGAGAATAAAGGAAATGATCACCAAATAGAGAGGCTTTTGATTGTCATACAAATTCTCCTTCTCAGCATCCTAAGAAACGTATGGCGTACAGTATGGAGAATAAGCATACTGATCCTCTCTCTTCTCTCCCTCCCTTGAGAAAGAGACTGGAGACGGGATAGGTATAATCCAACTAAGGGCCATAACGTCACGTGATTTCTTAATGGCAGTGGCGTCACAGCATAGTCATACTCACATCAGCAGAGAGGTATTTTACTCACAGAAATTTATTGTTGACGATGATGGTGAACGACTTCGGATCGCTAGACCTTGGCCGCATACCGATGGCATTCCGCATCTCACTTGTTCTGTAGGTAAACAACGTCATCGTCTCTGATTGATAGACAGACACCCATACGCACGCTGTGAACTTCACAATGGTCTCGTCTGTCGTGGCGTCATAAAGTTGGACATATGATGGGTTGGTTTGTGATGCAAAAACATACTTGAAGTCCATATTTGGACCTGGAACAAAACAGCAATATCCTAAGTAGATATCATGTGCATTGGGCCAGTGGATTTATGGAGGTCTCGCCTCATTGCAAGTTCGCCCCCAATCTGCCCGCCCCCATCGCGAAGAGTTCACTCCATTAAATGAAAAACGCGCTTTTTAAACAACCACTATTTTTACTAATTTCCATTCATCCCGCGGCTTCGACCCTTTTTCCGCGGCGCCGCCGCCACTTAAAACCTTTACAAACGATCCGGTTTGGCTAACTAAAATAATTTCTCAATGAAATTACCTATCAGAAGATCATTAGGGCAACTGCACGTGCACTATGTATTCTTTGAACTCCTTCTTAAAAACCTACAGCACAACACTGAACTGCAGAAACCTTCTTACCCCCGAGACTTTGCAAAATTGAAAATAAGTAAATCAACCAAAAGGACGAGCAAATCATGACTCTGGTTATGTTCCCCTTGACTGAAAATATGCTTATTATGCTGGCAGTGCTATTTTTATGAACAAGTAAAAAATTATGCTCGTTTTTCCAAATAAACTATAAATTATGTTAGCAACTTATATGAGGGCCTAGCAAGTAGGCTGTCACTAATGGTGCCTAGGTACGAGTGTTTCATAGCCCGGGGGAAATTAGAGCTCTTGATCTACGCGAACCAACGAAAGGTCTGCAAGAGGTCTGGCACTAAAAATGACACAACCTATCATCTGTCACCAATCAGGAGGCTGCGTACGTGGGCGAACGCAGATGATGAAAAGAACAATATTGTCCTTGGGGCTCTCATTATTAGTGCCAGATCCCAGGAACCCTCTAACCGACTCGTCTGAAATCTTCCTAGGGCGTAGGAACCCGCGTCTTGCGGAACCAATAATGAGAGTGTGATCGCAGGCTTACAACAGAACAATCAGTAATACTCACGTTTCGGTGGATCCTGGGAAATGGAAACAACTTCAACCTGACCGTAAGCCTGACCTCGTATGACGTCTTTCCAAGCCACAGTGTTCCCATTCTCTGTGCCAGATCCTGTTGCTATGTCAACTAGAGCGAAAGAGTGCACCACGAAATTCCATAGGTTTAAGTGACTCAAGAAGCCGACAAGCGATTGTTTTGCATCAAAACTTCCTCCAAGGTTATCCTGTTCTTGACCGAAGATAAGAATCCCGCCTCCGCGGATAACATCTCCATTTCCGTACCCAGTTACCACTCTCATCAATGAGCCATCTATATAAAACTTAAATTCACCTCCATTGTTTGTCCACGTGACACAAGCATGATGCCAGTGTTTGTCCAGAAAGGGAGCCCTGAATGCCTGTCTGAAATGAAACGACAACAGAAAATAGTCAATTAAGGAACAGTAGCATCCTCCTCAATATCTGCAGAGTGTATAAATACCCTTCGCGGCATCGGAGGCCCATCAATGCAGTCCTTGTTTTTTTTCTCGGAACGAACTAAGGGATCGACTTTCCTTTTTTGTCTCCCTTCTTACTCGACTCGAGGACACCAGCAGGCCTCAATCCCAGGCCTTGTCATTCGGACTCCACTCCACCAACAATTTATTTTTCTCCAAACAGTAAAATGAGCTGAGAGGTATACTTACAACCTTTTATTGTTGATAAAAATTCGTATCGTCAGGTCTTTCTTCAGCAAGAGAACCAGAGCGTTTGGCGATTCACTGTTAGCATAACTAAGAGAAGTGGCGTCTGCCTGTATGAAGACGAGTTTTGTCCACTGGCAGAGAGTAAAGGCCTGGAACGAGGGCAGTGACCCAGAATATTTTATCCGATCAACAGCTGTCATGGCTGGAAATTTCAAGGAGACTTTGGAAGAGAGATCTAGAGGAAAAACGAAATTAATTAAACAAAATATAAAAAGAAATAAAAATATGAAGAACATTCAGTCACGTTTTCTAAACATAATTCCTTCATGAATCATGTGAAAAGGTAAGTGTGCTGCCATGTCATTGTTGAGATGTAACACAACGAGGCTCTTCGCTGCGTCGTTGCGTGACATCCCCAACATCTCATAGCGCCTGTGGGGTTGTGCGTGCATATTTGCCATCCAAGCCTATGATGCGTGATCATTGATACTAGTGCGCCGTGCAGAAATCTGGCGGTGAAACGGCCGAAAACTCACTCCCAGAGTATCTCGCGGCGCATTAAAATCAATTTTTTCGCTGAGTTTTTTAATTCGCGCGACAGATTTCGCGAAAAAGGACAAACTACTCCTAGTCAGGAGCCCATTAGTAATGGACTCCTGTCCTAGTCTGGATTCAGGGTCTCTTCTCAAATCAAAAGCTGCATGATTCCCTGTGTTAAAAAGTTTTCCAGTATCATTCCTTTAAATTTTCGAGCTCATAGCAACGTAAACATTATGGGCTACAATTCTTTTAGAGATGACCACTGAGCGTATCCACGCCATAGCAACTTGGCCCTATTGTTTTCGTAACAACTGGACCCTTCTGTGCTATCTGTTTCAGTCCATAAGATGTTTTGCAATGACCTTTCTGTACTCTGGGGACCATTCATTATTTGTCACCTGCGGGAGGAGGGGATGGCAGGATTTTGGTACTTTTCGACAATGGAGGGTGGGAGGGGGGAAGGAGTCAGTCGTTGCTTACAGAGTATAAAGGAAGGACTATAGAAAATTGAATAACAATGAGGGGAGGAGGGGAGGGGTATCATTAGAATAGTACTGAGCCTTAGGGGGGTAAGGTGATTATATTGTGAGACCGCCAAAATCCTCTCAACACCACCCCACCCCTTCCCCTCAGGCGATAAATTCTAAGCGGTCCCCTATTTCTACTAATAAGGTACCAATTACTTACCAGGTCCGCTGCAAATTGACCCTTCTGTCAACACAACGTTGCCCTCCAGAACATTTCTGAAAAGCGGCCAGCTTACGACATTGCCCACGCGACTCGAACAATTTGTAGCCAAATTGTATACTTCGTTCTCCTCCATGGCATAATCCCACATGTTCACTCCATTGATGTTGCCAGTGAACGAGTTGCCTTCTTGGAATCTTCCTTTACTTTTCACAAGCTGACCCAACACCAATGGTTGGCCGAATTCAAACTCAGTGTCTCCTCTGCAGCTGGTAAATGTGCGCCGTTTGTTTGTTTTTCCGTCGATGTACGCCGTACAAATGCGCGTTGACCGCTTCCAGGTGATACAGATGCTGTGCCAAATCCCATTGTTCAACGGAGTGCTGTAAAAATCCCTGTGGTACGAAACAATTTCGAAGATCTCAGTAGACAAGCAGTAGACTTCTCCGCACGTGCTTGTAAAAATCGTGAACATACTGAATCAGCGCAAATAGTGGATATAGGATAAATACCATGTGGATTTAGTGTCGCAATGCTATATGAAATGAAAATAACTACGCCCAATCGCAAGAAAGAACCGATGAAAACTCGAAAGAAGAAAACGGAAGCACTGCAGAGAGGGAAAAAATGCGAGCAACCGCGTGAGGGATGATTTACTTTCGTAGGTGATTGGTTGAGTGATCAATTGGCGCCAAACAATTAATCCAATCACGACGCGAGTAAGCAAAAGCAAAACAATGTAGCGATTTAATTGGTTGTCGTAGATGTGGATTGAGTTCTGTAGGCCAGTCGAAGAAGGTTGTGAGGCAAAACCAATACAGTCGTGGATCAATCTCAACGCTCTGTTGAAAATTGCTCTAAACTAGGGAAAGTTAGCTTCATTTACTATTGTAGATGTTAATATTCCTACCTTTTGGCTCCTTTTAAGGAGAAGTTGCACTGCGAATATTCATCACAAATTAGATCAAGGTCGCCGCCTACAAGCCCAAATGATCCTGACTGAGTTGTTTGAAACCAGATGCAAAACGTCAAGGCGTTAATGGGCTCATCCGAAATGGCCATGCTTACATTGTTGGACAAACTTTTTGCCTGGAATTTCAAATCGTAGTCTTTGGACTTTTCTGTGAACACAAAATTTTAAAGATCAGGTCAAAAGCAGATAAAACGCAGAAGCAATTTGGATTACAAACGGCTTCCATGTCATTTGTCAGTCTTTATTTTGAACGTGAGAGAAATTCCAAGGAAGTTATTTATCTGCTCGCTCGATTTTTAACTTTTGCTGGGCTGACGATCAATATGCAACCCTTTTACTCCGAAGATGTCATCAGTAATTCTCCTTACTGCCGACCATGCAATTCTTGCGTTGTTAGTTTGAAGAATTTGGTATTGGATCAACTAAATAATTCCCTGATTGGTATTTTTCTTTATTCTCAATTCTCATCGCTTGTGTGCTTGAAATGGCATTGATTTTGTTCAGAGAAATTCTGTCTTGTCATTTTGATGTCAGCCAAGATAATCCAAGAGTTCCTAGCGCATTACGCTTGCACCCAGTCCTCACCTGTCCAGTTTTGGCACACGTCACCAGTGTGAAGGATATCGCAGTCACAAACGAAACCGAACGGAATATCTATTCTACACAAGGTAATGCATTTACCGCCATTTTGACACGGTGACGATGAACATCCGGCGCTCTGTGGAAACGATAAATGACGTTGTTAATTGATAAGGAGAAACCAATCTCGTTCCTAGGTATTTCTTGGTCAATTTTTTCCAAGATGGTGTCGTAACGCCATCTTGAAACTGACTGAGTAATCTCTGAGGATGAGAAAGGAATGATTTTTTTGGTTTTTTTTTTGTTTTTTGTTTTTTTTTTTTTGCGTGTAAGGTTATCGCAATTAATTGATAGAGGAATTGCAAGTTAGGGACCTACTCGACTCACTCTCTCGTCTGGACCCTTTAGATCCAACCACAAATTCTTACTTCTATTTGCCATACCTGGCCGCGAAAATCACTTCAGAGAACTCAGTTCCCTTGTGGAAGATACTTTTGGAAGAGATATTATAAAGCTGCTTCGTTCGAGGATCTCGCTAAAAAGAAAGAGGCCGTTGTGGACTGGGCACATTCTCGTCCCCATAGCTCACTCGATTTCGCGGTTCGCTTGGGCCTTAGCCTGGCACGAGAAATCGAAGGATTACCTATTCAAAGGCTCTGGAGACTTGAAGAATCTTTGAGCTTTAAAGACAACTTTGGACTGCGTGATGGGAAAAATTCGTCACGGAAATCTTGTTCCACACGAAGGAAACGCTTTCCTGTCTAGATAAATTATTCAAGGCTATTTATTTAACTACCTATACCATCTACTGATCCATAGCCTTGATACATAACTTTCAAACGTTTACAGCATTGCTACTATTTACCCTTCCAGCATCATAATAAATCATATCTCCTTGCGCCGTATAATTTTCAGGTTTCGTATAGACGCTTTCGCTGCTCAGCTCACAAAGGTGGAGGGGGCCTGAAACCCGGAAGTTGTAGGATCGACATCGAGAATCCTTAAAGCAAGCGAACGAGCAATCAAAAATATCCGGAGCCTGGAGCGAGACAATGATATGACCTATCAAAGCAAACCCTGAAAAAGATAACGAGAAAATATACAAGAAAGAAACACATAAATATAAAAAGTAATACTTTATTTTTCATTGTTAAGTATAAATTTTTGCTTTAAAAACTAGACAAAAAGGAAAAACTGGGTTTATACGAGAATCGCGAACAACTTTTAATATGAAAAAGTTCCATTAAGGAGCATCGAAAAGTTCCTTTTAAGAGAGTCTCACTAGGGTTTCGATTTTTTCCGGCTAAAGCTTCAAATTTTGGCCAATTTACGGCTAACGGTTCACATCTTTCCATTATCCTGATTACAGTTAGCTGAAATTTTTTTACGGTTAACTTTTTTTACGTCTTATAGGATATATTTATTTTCATTTGAAGAGCTTCTTGTTGAAAACGATGAATAACTCATTTCAGATGCTATTGTCACAGCATCTGCGACATAGCACACTTAATGCTGTTGGTCACTATCACGGAAAACATCCTTTATTATAGGTCTCCGCTAGCAAGAAGGAACGCAGAAAATGGCTTTGTTTCGGCCCGTTGGTTCATTCAATTTTCTTGCACGAAGACCATTTTTTAGTAATTTTTCATAGCCTTTTACCTCAAATCACTACATTTTTACAAAGGATTGACAAGAATTGTAAGAAAATAAACAAGTAGAAACCGCTAAAATTACTTAAACTCATTAGTTTTATCGCGTATAATTGTTCGATTTTCTTCATTGTCCTAATGGATTTTAGGTTTGATTAAATACAGCTTTACCAATGAAAGGACTTTTTAAAACATTAGGAAATAAATCACTTCCAATAAATTTGTCGGTATTATACTCGAAATGCTTAATGATATATCATGATCCCCTTAGTCTAACCGATAAAACAAACACAGCTTCACCATCTAGAAACGCTTGGTGAAACCGTCTGAAAATAAATTAGCGCATGGTAGAAATACTTACGTAATCTTATTAGCTAAGTTGTTCGGGTTATTCTTAACACGTTTAAACAAAAAATAACACCAGACTTTTGCACCTCATTAACTTTGCACAACTTATACGAGCGTAAGATGTCTACCTTTTCCAACGTTGTTGTAATTTGCCGCCCGCCAACTGCATATTCTCCCGTTTGCTAGAGCGCAGTTTAAAAATAACACACAACGCATAAAAATCGATCGACTTGGTAACGTTTGCATCGGTAGGCAGGGTGTCAGTTTAAAGCTCGTGTTCTTTGTTTTACGCTGGTTTCTGTGAGATGTTTCATTCGAAGTAGAAGCTTCGATGAACTCCGAACTTGGAAAGTTCGCCTGAATCAATTACGCCGACGCTAAATTGATAACCAGTCGAGTTTGAAATGGTTACCATGAAAAATTAATCAAATGTAAGATGTAATTAGCTGTTTCTAGAAACACCACCAACGCTTTTCTCACGAATTGTTTAAAAAAAAATGTTGGGCCAGCAATTATATTTCCCAGGTTCGGCGATCTTTTAGGATGTGCAACTTCATCTCTAAAAAGCTGCTAGTTTGGAAGAGGGTCTCCTATATCCTTTATAAAACTCAGCCACATGAAAATATTTGGCCTTGTCACGCATCACGAATGATATCAAAAACTATTATTTGACGTTCACGCGAAATTTGAGACCTTTCACATAAAAATATAAAACCTAATTCACGAATTTAATTTTTACTCTCTCTTACTCTTGACCAGTCCTGCGTGACAAGTGATGATGCGTCTCATTTTATTTGTTCAAGGACCATTAAAGGTCGGTTTTTTGACTCTAATTGATCCATATAAAGTTCATGTCCTGTCTAAACCTTGATCAAAACTTAACCACAACCGTTCGGGAACAACACATTTTCAAAACCATTGCAAAGCCGAGAATTCATCACACAAAACAAAAAGGTTTAAGAATCACGTTTATGTTTAGTTCTTCATTCACGAGTCACGTTTAATGAAAAAGTTAGTTGAAGCGGACATGAAAAAGTCATCTTTAATCACGAGAAAAATAATCGCTAAATCACACTCCAGGTAAAAAGTTTAAAGACTCTCGTTTAATGAAATAAGCACGATCGCTCTTTGAACAAAAATCTAGCTCTTAAAAAATGTCAATAATAGTACTGGCTTATTATGTCTTCATTTTGTAAAATATTGAGCATAACATTCTTTCAAATTGTGACGCTGAAAAAACAAACCTCTCAATTATCTTCGTAAATGTTTCGGTGCTTTTTTTTTCATCGAAAACTAAGAATTGAGAAAGTTTTTAGAACAAAACTTCAAGGAATCACCTCGAGTGGTAGAAGGAAAAATTTGAAATTCTTGGTGTTTGGATGAATATGAGAAAACAACTTCATGAAATGTCGGTGGGAGGGAATACTGTTTGGCGTGTGAAAGCGGAAAATTACTTAGTTACACGCTTCTGTCCAAGCACAATTTAAGCTTTGATTACACGGGTGGCAAAGGAAAGTACATCATTAATTACTGTTCTCTGATTTTCGTTAATGCCTTAAACTCCGCTTTGAAAGAGAAAGGAATTCGATGTTGTACTATTCCCAATTTGATTAGTAAAGGCTCCGGCGTAAAGGTTGCTTGGAATTTCTCGTAAGAAATAACAAAGGCAGAAATTTTCTTCACAAAACGAGTTTATTTAAAAATGATTCAAATCTCAACTTGTGCGACTGCAGGTGAAAACTGTTTCATTCATATGGTAATATAACAATTCTCTAGTAAAAATATTTCACTGCAACTCCTGAAGAGCTTTTAAAGACTGTTAAGAAATTTTGGAAGTTCTTCCCCTCTAACGAGTAGAGTTTCCCCTGCTATCTTCGGGCCTTCCGTTTCCTGAAAAGAAGCAAACATCAGCGAAAAAAAATAAGAATCATTTGGGAAATATTTCAAAAAAGGTCTATGGTGAGCATTCCGAAAAAGTGACGTATAACAAAAACAAAGTTAAACAAACAAAAGGTGAGCATCAAAACGAACCAATAGGAACTCAAAGTGAAAGCACGTGACATGCTTAAAGCGCGGGCTGAAAACGGGTGATTGGGTAAAAGAGTGGCGTGATTTTTATAGATCAATCACATAAAAATACCAATACAGCCCCAGATTACTTCAGAAAGTCGATGAGAATCGATCAAATAAGAAAATCATCGAGATAAGTTCAAGGAGGAAAGCTAACAGGATGTAGGTTCAATCCTATACCATTTTTGAAACTGAGATTTTTCCAAGATTTTACACCAAAAATCTTGGTCATTTCAACTCGATTTATTGGAGACTGCCTTATCAAGGTCGTACAGAATCTGGCTGCTTTTTCCAAGAAATTGTCGAAGATCGTCGAAGACGCAAGTGTATGACAGTTACTTGTCAAGAAATTATGAACTCGTAAGCGACAATTTTGCAAATATCGACAGATGTTAAAAAGCTGTCTGTTAAGCATTTATGTCGTACCTTGTAAATGGATGTTTTCTGATAGTTTGTAGCACCGCATTGCCTAAACAAATTTAGAAATGTAAATAATAAAAAGGAACGAGAAGAGAAAAGAGAAGAGGCTAAAATGGAAAGAAAAAATCGAATAAAGGAAATAGCGAAAAAATGGAACAGCGGAAAATAGAAGAATGCACAAGATTGAAATTTAAAAGAAAGGAATAGTGTAGTAATAAAAAAGAAAAAGTAAAGGAGAGTTTCAAATGATAGTTTAGCCAAAGGCAAAGAATGGAAAGTATTAAACGGAAAGCAGATTAATGGTGTTAAAACGAAAGCAGAAGAAAATAAACAAACAAACAAAAAACGATGGTGACTACTCTCACCTGCAAGGATGTTTAGGAATTGGCGATCCATATGATACAGTGCGAGTTTTGCAGTCTTTACACACGAAGAACTTCTTCAGAGCCTTACAATACTTCAGCGCATGCTTTTCCTTGTGGCAGAGTTCTGAGGCACCCTCTGCTACGTAATTACACTACAAGAAAGACCAAGGTGATTAAGGAGTCCCTTTAAGGTAGTCAAAATACCTGTCATCAGAGCGAAGGAACATTATCGCACAGAGCAAAGTAAAAAGGGAAGAGTTCAAACATGCGAACCTCCTGAAGCGGGGGAAAACGCGAGCAAACGCGTGACACCGGCCAATCAAGACTAAAAAAATATCACAAGGAACCAATGGAAAATCAAAGTTTAGACTGCTTAAAGCACGGGAAAACGCGTCACTGATTCGTGGTGGGTTTTATTTTTTGCATCTGATTGGTTGAGAGAGTGGCGCGAGATTTTCAAACCAATCACCAGGAGAGGTGAGGCAATCCGAAGCCACTTCAGAATATCTTCATTTTTTAAAAATTGCGAATTGCTCGACGTAAACATGGTTAAATGTATATTTTTTTAAGTAAACAGTATATCATAGTGGCGCACACTGGTTACACAAGGCAAAAGACCGATCAATTTTCATTAAATACAACTAGGTTTAGTCAAACACAATTGTTTACCTGTTTACAGCAGACCACTTTTACTTTGAGCTCTGTAATCGTCTTCATTTTATCCTCCAGTCTTTCTTTCTTCTCCAGTTCGTTGAAGTATTTTTCCTCTCTCTCGGCCTCAGCCTAAACATTTAAAAGTATGCACTAACCTTATCTTAGGCCCAGGCTGCACAACACAACGGTGTAATGCCGGGCAGGCGCAAGGGGGTCAATTTTGGGCGCCCGCGCAGAATTTCGAAGGAAAACGTAAGAAACCATCGCTTTCTTGCAAAATGGGCGAAAGAAAACTGAGCTGTTTAACAGTAAAAGGAAACAAAAGCCGCGAAAAGGAAAACTCGATACTTTTTGCCGAACTCAAAGCTTATTCAAGTGCGGGTATCCTGATTTTGAGCTTTACCGGAAAAGCGGTACGCTTCTAAAACACCGTGACTTTCTAGCTCGTTTGATTGTTTGTAACTCGTGTGAGACAACTTGGTTCAGACAGCCTGAAAGTAGGCTACCTAGTCATTAAAGCGTTCGCACATGCGCAGACATTTGACCGCCGGGTTGGATTGCACGTGAGAAAAACTTCCCTGCTCTTAATAACTGTTAGAAAAGCAAAGTTCTGTAAGTCACCCAGGTACAAACGTTAATCGCTTGTTGCGCTTTGGCTCTGCTAGAGCACAACACCGTTGTTTTGAGGATCATTTTTCCTGGTGATCAATTCAAAATGTCGACTTCTGTTTTTGTAAAGGATTTGTTCATGAGAGAATGGACAGAATGAGCGTAGTGAGGTTGTGAGAAGTGGGAGTGGGCAGTGGTGAGAGCGCTCGCCTCCCACCGCTGTGGCTCGGGTTCGGTTCCCGGACCTGGCGTCTCATGTGGGTTGGGTCGGGTCCTCTGGTTTTCCCCCCTCCGCTAAAAAACCACATTCCTAATCTCAATTCGACCTGGAAACAGTGGACAAGAAGAGCCACCTCGTGGAATATCCACTGCTGCTAATGTACCATTATTATTATCGTTATTATTATGGCTATCATATTCCTCCAATCATCATACTCACCTCTCGCACGGCACCAACATGCTGTGATTTTGCAGCCAGTAGTTTTTTACCTTCTTCGGAAGTCAGATCTATTGATCCAAACTCTGGTCCCAAAATTCGTCTTCTTTTTTTCCTTGAGTCTTGATCTACATTGCCATCATCATTTTCTACAACAGAAACAAAGAACATTTGCCTTCGAAATGTAAGTTGGAGCATGCGCAAATAATGGTTGAAAGAGGGCTGTGACAGAAATCACACGGGAATTTGACGTCAAGGGCGGGAAAACGCAAATGACCAAGTCGCTAGGGATTTGAGTTAAACATTCGATTGGCACAAGATTTCTTTTCCAATCACACGGTGCTATGTAAGCCAATCCCATAGTTCCTTTAACGCCGGTTCAAGTACTTTTGTGTGAACAAAAGGCCTAACCAGGAAATCACACATGTTAGATCGGTGTGGACGAGCTTCAGTTAAAAGTTCTCAGGCGAGCAATGTTTAATGGGCATACCTTTGCTGCTATCTTCAAACGCTTTCTTTTGAATTTCCTCCTGCGCCTTTGGAGATAACTTTTTGCGAACAGCATTTGGGTCATCCTTTTCTATAGGTCCTTTCTGTTTCACAAGTGACAAAGCTTTGAGCTGACAAAATAAAAATAACAAATAAACAGGGTTGTCATCAGAAAATGCAATGGATGTAGGATCTGAACTGAGGAAGCTGTTGAACTGAATCATGCGTGATGCAAAAGAAACACGTCCTTCTGGAAGGGTCAGGGGGGCATGCTCACCTGGAAAAATTTGAAATTTGAAATTCTTTGAGACGCGATTTCCAGTATTCTGGAACATATTTGAGGAACATTTTTTAGCCACATAATGATGTTAGAAACCGTTCAAAATACTTATTTTCTGTCTTTGATCAAAATTCTCAAAGTAGCAGGGGAAAAACAGTCTGACAGCCGGCGGAAACGGCCTCAAATGACATCTCTGGAAAAAGTGCCGTTTTCTTCGATTGAACAGTGGTTTGAAAGCAGATAAAACGATCACGGAATGACAAGAAATTTAATACTCAACTCATGATGAGTAATTTATTAGGCAATACTAATTTCCCCTTTCCGATCAAAAAAGCGACGAAAACAGACCAGCTTATCAAAAATGTAACGAGAACAGATCAACTTATCAACGAAAAAGGGATTTCGTAATGTAACGCCAAAGAAAGCTGACATGCACTATGTAAATCAAATCCTAAGTGTTAAAATATTTATGCCCAAAGAGAGTATTAGAAAAGTTGGAAAGCAACCAAAAATTTATTAAAAAAATTCGAGTTCACATACTCAAAAAACGATGTTCATCTCGCTCTTTGCAACTATTTCTTTAAACAATTTTTTGGGGCAAAAAGACAATGTTTAATCATTGCTTTCCTTTTAAAATTGTGATAGGATCGATAACTGCTGTCTGTTAGAGACCGAACTTGAAAAGAAGAGAGAAATTGGGATTAGTTCATGTTTACCTTTGCTCTCTCTGTATCATTTAATTTCCGTTTCCCGAACTTGGGTGAACCATCAAAGAAGAGATCCGATCCTGGCGCCAGACCACGCCCTAACATGGGTGCTCCAAGTGTGCCCGTGGACGAAGACTTCGTTCGTTTAAGTTCCTTTTCATGCGCTTTTAAGAGCTCTGAAGCAGACATTGTGGGCTTTCTCTCTTCCTCTGGTTTTTCTGGAGAGAAAATGTAACATTTTGACTATATATATATATATATATATATATATATATAAACGCAGCCACGAAATATGTTCTGCAGGTCGTGCGTTTGTCCGCCTTGCGGGAAGATTTGAGACGAGTTGGGGAGAGGTTTACTGTGGGCCTGGTAAAAATAATAATGAGAGCCAGATCTCTCCCCGATTTGCATTTTTCAAGGCCTCTCCCCATACTCAAGCATTTAACCCTTATACTCCCAAGATCTCATCAGTAATTCTCCTTACTGTCTGCAATACAGTTCTCTTGTTGTTAGTATGGACAATTTGTTATTGAATCAGCTAACAATCTATAAATTGATATTTTTCTTTATTCTCATCACATGTCTGCTTGATATTTCATTGATACTGTAAGGAGAAATTCCGTCTTAGTCACTCATGGGTGTTAAAGGATTAGCCGCTTAACCTTCCCCCACGCTCTCAAGCCAAATTTTTCGTAGTAAACCACCCAGAGCAGGTTCCCCGAAATTTCCTATCAATAAAGCGACTTTTCACTCGTCTCAAGAGTTGATTGTATATTTTTCCGTGTTTGGCGCCTACAAAGGATTTCGTTAATTGTCCCATGCTAGTGAGAGAGAGAATTTTATATTTACATCTGGGAGGTGAAAGAGTGAAGATCTTCCTGTGGTACTTACTTTGTTCCTCGTCTTGGTTTAAATGTCTGATCAGATTTCTGGAGCCAACTGTTGGCATTTCAAGAAGCTGTACTCTGTCAAAGTAACGAGAGAAATGAACATTTTTGCTTTAACTTGACCGGTTTCTTTTGTCAGAACTAGCCGCTTGGATAGCCCCGTCGCTCATCTAGCACTGTATTTTAAGCATGCGCGGACTACTACTAGGTGTGTAAATGTTGCAGACGGCGTTGCAAACTGATATCCATCTTTTTGTGACTGGAACATGCAAGACGGTGCACTTCACGTGCGCCTCCACGCGAAGCGTGGACCTCTGCTTCCATTTGTATCAGTCAGATAAGGTTTTTCGGTTTAGCTGGATATATTTCATGGGAACTAGCAATTGATGTATCCAGGAGCCACTCCCTTTGAAAATAGATAGTGCAATAGTCAAACATCGGGCATGCGCCACAGGATCAATTTTAGCCGGCCACGCGTAAATTTCCCGCGCAAAATTATAAAGACAGAAAACAACTTGTGTGTACAAAAATGAAAACGTTCTGATAAAACCGTAGAAGGAAAGAAATGGAGAGAGAAGGGAAACTTAGGACTTTTGGGACTCAAAGTATCTTTTTTAATTACGAGATACTCTGTGTATATACCTTTCTGTTGCACACTTAACCAAAAATTTATGCATGTACGTGTATAACACACGATTACTTCCTAGCTCATGTCGTTGTTTCAAAGTCCTGTGCGCCAGTTTGGTTTTGACAGCCTGAAAGCATGATGTTGGCCCGACTCTAAGCCGCTTCAACCCTCACACTCACGTGGACGTTTGACCGTTGTGTTATTGCATGTCAACTTAAAAAAGAGGCATTGTCAACTCACAATACGGTTTATGATAAACGAATCAACTGAAAGGGAACATGTCTTTCAGGCAGGAAATCTGTCACATTTATGGCTTTCATCTGTATCAATCTAAGCACTTGTATGACACTTACAAGAAGTCTGAATGTTCAGTAGTAGGATTGCTATTATTTCCCTTTTGATGAACTGAATCACCTGAATCAAAGCAAGTAAATAAAAACTTAGACAATAAGTGAAAACCAGATATTAACAGTTCAAAAATCAGAAAATCAGAAAGGATTATAGGTATCAAATAAGAGAGAAGCCGAATTACAAATTCGTTGCCCTCTAACAGAACCATTTAAATCTGACATTCTGTGTAGAAGAACAACATCACATGAAAGGCCTTCACCCATACTCTCCAAAGATCTCATTAGTATTTCTTCTTACTGTCTGTCATACAATTCCTATGATGCAAGTTTGGAGAATTTGGTATTGGATCAACTAAAAATCCCCTACCTGATACTTTCTTTATTCTCGTCACTTGTCTGTTTAATACTGTATTGATATTATATATCAGCAAAATATTGCTGAGTGACACCCCTTCTAGCTGGCAAATTGTTCTTGGGCTTCCTGTGCCCCTTCCTCTCTAGCGAGCCACAGGCACATAATCTTAGAGAAAACATGATCTAATGCAAATTACCCATCATGAACAAATTTGCTCATAGCAACTTTTCAGTCAGTGGTATACCACATAGTCATTTGGTGTAACTGTACAAGACTGGTGCTACCTTTATAAACTCACCTTTTGCCATTGCCTCAGTAGATCCATTTCTTTTACCTACACTAAGGCTCTTCAGTGAAACATTTTTCTTCTTGTGGTCGGTATTGTGACTAGACGCATTCACTGTGCGTCCTTGATACATGAAGGTTGAAGTATTGAGGTCTTTCTTAAACTTCTTCATTAATGGTGCTTTACCTGAGGGACCATATCTAAAACATACAACATAAAAGAGAGGGCTGAAAACCCAATCAGCAAAACTATTAGCCTGCATTGCAGGCCCCTTAGTTCATCCAGAGGCCATGTTTGATTTAGAGCTAGTGTGAATGGTTGGGGGAAGGGTTGGGGAAGGGTTGTTGATTTCCCCCTCTACTCCCTCACCCCCCTTGGTACAAATTTCTTTTTCTCCCGCTCTGCAAGAAAATACTGATCACTCACTTGCCAAAACTCATGCCTACTCTGTAGGCTACAAAGCTATGGCAAAGGCATGTTGGATGAACATCACTGAATTTCCATACCCTGTCTGGCATTCCATTCTTTGAGCCCTCATTGAATGGTAGGCTGCTTGGACATGGTATTCACAGAACTCACCATGTTGCCTAATGAAAATAAAATGAAAAAACCTCAAAATGTATCAAATAGATATTAGTATAGATTAGCGTATGCAACACTTTTGAGTAGTACATTATAGAACATCCTACAAGTCATTTGACAAATGATCTCAGTATACGGGAGTAGAAGTTCCTTGCACCTTTAAGGATTAACCTTACCCTCATAATTTCCACTAATTTTTGAAGAAAATAGGTTAATTTATCTTTTGGACTATTTCATGGCAATACAGCCAACCAAAATGGAGGAAAGCCATTGGATATTTCCTACTATAACATGCTTACCCAATGCTGGCCAAATGCTGATGCAACACTAGCCCAATACTGGCCCAAATACTGGCCCAAATACTGGCCCAAATACTGGCCCAAATACTGGCCCAGCCTTCCCTTTAGCATCACAATCTTTCTCTTCCTTGTATGCACAATGTTAGACTAACTACATGTAGGTTAAAACTACCAAACCTTTTGTACCTGTTGATAAAATTTGTACACGGGCGATTATCTGACTTTTTGAGTCCTCTGCATTTGCCAAGATCTTTGGATATTCCCATCAGCATAAGTTTTCTGGCATTGTCCAAAGTGAGAGCCAGGTCTTTAGAATTCTTCTGGAGGGATAGGAATGAAACAGTTTTATTTCAAATGTATATAGATTTAATTTCACAGAGATCCCATGTGCTTTCGTCAAAGTAGGCAGGCTAAAGAATGATCAAAGTTTTAGGATAAAACTGCTAGAATAGCAAAAAGGACAGGGGATATTTCTGTATTCTTTGGGCAAGAAGAGGCAAGCAATGTAAAGTGGAGAAGCATTTTTTAGTGCCCTCCTCCACTTGTGTGTATCTTTGACCCTTGCACAATCCTAGTGCTTTCCTCATGCTTGACTCCACTTGTTAGTAAACTGCTAACAAAAAGGGCAAGAAGACTAGCCCTCAAGATAGTATGGTGCTGCTTCTGTAAGGGGTACTATAAAATCATTTGGTTTTAACTAAGTTGGTAATGTAAATTGACCACTCCAAGAATTTCTAAGTCTGAAGTTTCAAGCATAAACCCTTTGCCTAAGCAAACACATTCAAAACATAAGCTTTAGAAACTCTCTGCAGTTGCCAATTTTTATGATCAACTCAGTCACTAAAACCAAATCATCTCATATTACATGCAACTGTTACTGCTTACCTCTTTCGCAGGTAGAAGGGATGCATTAAGAAGAGCCACAACACTCCCTTCAATTGTCTTCCAGTGCTCTTTGTATACATCACCAAAGAGAAACAATGCAACAATTTCATTGCTGGTGTTAGGGCCAAGATCTGAGAGTTTCCATATACCATAAGTTTGCCCCTGAAAACAGACAAAATTAAGAAACTCTTAGTGAAAACTTAATACTCATGCAATGTTTGAACCCTACTACACGAATCAATTGATAAATCTGAAGCTTCTTATTGTTACTGCACATAATACAATTTATTCATCTAGAAAAAAACCTGACACCACCCTAGAGGTGCAGTGAAAAGCCTTGTTATCAAGCTATTTTAAATACCTCTAATTAACCAAGTTTGAGGTCTGTACTGTCAGTTGCAGACTAAGTTTTAGATTAATGGTCCAAGCACAAAGCATGCAGACCATAAATCTTAACAGAGAAAAGACACAAGGATGTGTTATTTATGGTATAGACCAAGAAAACAAAGTTAGTAAAGGGAGAAGATTTCAGTCAAAAGAGACCTTTTGAATAGGACATTTCACAGGTGTGTAATTGGTTGCCAAGCCTTTGATTTGGAGTGAGGCTAAAGTTGACTTTATTGTGATAGAGACCAGTGTCTAGGTAGCATGATAGCAAACTTATTTGCATTTGAAAAGTTAAAGTAGCAATGTTTGTCTCACAACTAGGTCACCCTTAGCCTCACTCCCGTTCAAAGGCTTGGCAACCAAGCACACAACTGTAAAATGGACTATTTAGCAGGCTGTAAAGTGAAATACTATCTGCTAAATTAACCAATCATAGCATGCGAACTAACTTAGAGAAATAACAATAAAGGATACAAAATACTGAACTTACATTTGAGCTTTTCTTTGGAGGCATCTTCTGAACTATCACACCAATTGTCACCCAGTCCCCATCAATATCATTATTTCCCTTAATCTTGGTTGATATCTGTGAAATCTTCACCATTCTGCGTCCTTCCATCCTCTTCTCCATAACAACTGATGAAATCAGTGGATTAATAATTCGTAAACTGGAAAACCTATCACAGGAAAAGTCCTCATCATCCATTGACTTTCCTGTTCTAGTCTCTGTTTCAACTGCAGCTTTTTTCTTTCCTGCAGCCATTTTTCCATTGTTGGGGTTTTCATCTTGTGCAGTCAGTCTTCTGGTAGTCCCTGAGCCTTTTGTACCCAGGCCATTTTCAGGTTTCATTCTTGTTGAAGATGAGTTTTCAGGAGCTTTTTGTTTTGTAGAATTGCAAGGCCCAGCAGAAGAATCTGGGGAAACTGCAATTAAAGATACATACAAATCATAAGTATTGGTGCGCATAAGTTGCTAAAATCATAAAGAGAAAAAAAGAGATCGGCTCAATCTTTTAACCCTTTCACTCCCAAGATCTGATTTGTAATTCTCCTTACTATCTGCCATACAATTCTTATGACGTTAGTTCAGAGAATTTGGTATTGGATCAACTAATATTCTCATGATTGATATTCTTCTCTATTCTCATCACCTACCTGCTTGATATTGTATTGATATTGTAAGGAGAAATTCTATCTTGGTCACCTGTGGGAGTGAAAGGGTTAAAGAGACATTTCACTGCCTTAGTGAAATTCTCAATGAGTTTCCCATATTTTTTCTTTCTTTTTTCCATTATTTTCTGAACTTCACAACTGTTAATTGTCTCAGTGCAATAGCATTTAACTCTATAGTCCATTTTACAGTTGCATGCTTGGTTGCCAAGCCTTTGAACAAGAGTGAGGCAAGGGATGACCTTGTTTTGATATAAACCTTACTGTCTTTCAATTATATATTACTTTGTTATCATGCTAACTAGATACTGGTCTCTATCACAACAAGATCACATTCAGCCCCACTCCAAATCAAAGGCTTGACAACCAGGTACACAACTGTGAAATGGTCTACTACTAGAAAATTGATTTTGTCCACTATGAAAAATACCAAAAAAATTTATATCACTTGATTGCCAGAAGAGATCAAGGATCAATGTCAGTTGAAACTACACACCTACCCCTCCCAAACTTGTTATCAGTTGACCACTGCTGAGTTAAGGGAGGGGTAGGTGTACAGTTGCCCAGAGACTGACATTGATTCAAGATATACATATAAGTTCTCCTGGTAATGTCAATACATTATTCAGCAAACAGGTGTTGAGAATTGACAACTTCTCAGCTAAAGCGTCATCTCAATGAAACACTAAATTCCCAAAACTAATTTATAAAGAATTGTACAGCAGATGGAAATGAGAATTACAAATCAGATCTTAGGAAGTAATCTACAATAGAAGCTCAAGGAAATGGTATGGAAGAAAATTTAAAATACAGTGGAACCTCTATTCAGGGGACAACCCTTGGGATCACGGAAAGTGTCCCCTGAATACAGGTGACCCTTTATGAAGGTTACAAATGCAAAGATTAGATGAACATTTTTTCAGGACCAAAGTTTTTTCTTCCCTGAATAAGGGTGTCCTAAAGGAGAGGTTCTACTGTAGCTTGAGGAATTTTTTACATTTCTTGTACTCTTTACCTGTCTTGTTAATACAGTGTGCTGGAGCATGGGCTGTTCTTTTGTTGTCCTTTGAAAAGAGCATCTGCTGGCTCTTGTCTTGCTTTGAGCTCTTTTTCTCACTCAATTTGAACTCTTGTTCTTCTTTAGAAGAGCCTGATCTAATTTCATTATTCAGTGTTGTTGGTGATAGCAAAACTGTGAAAATATTATCAAGGAAGCAAAACTGTATCCACACTGAAAGATGAAAGCATTCTACTTGGGAAATGACAGATGCTCAAACATAAATATTGGGTGAAGTGAAGTCAGCAGAAGAGCCAGATTATTATTAAATTATTATTGAATTACCTACATGTAATCCTTTTCTCATTGCTACAAGTGACTAGTTCTATATTTCCTTCCCCTGAGGACAGGATACCAGCCTGATGCATGGTTAACTTCCTTCATAGAATCAAGTCACTATAGTTAAATTAAGACAGGCACTGGGAAAGTTCAGTGTCCCGGGGGAACAACACAATGACCCATCCAGAATTTGGATCTGATCATCTGGATTTGAAATCCAGTGCACTTTCAGTGCAATTACTGTATCTTTCATGACAAAAACTGAGTGATTGATATCTAATTCCTCATTTATATGTGGTAAGCATTCAGGATCCAAGAAAGAATGATACAGATGAGTCTCAAGTAGAAGATATTTTTTGTTGTAATCAAGTAACAAATGGCACAAATGTTGATCCATGAAAAGAAGTTTAGTAAAGGATACCAGCTTTTTCTGCTTCAAGCTTTTTTATGTATTCTTCCATGCTAGCCATTTGCGCTGATCAATCATAAATCAAAGCATAATGTAAAACAATCAGTTAACAACTGATTTTACGTTACTAAGCTAGAAAAGATAAAGTCTGTGCTGCAGCTTATCCCAGTTTCCTTAGCATGAAGCGACAAGAAAGTATCACTACTCCCACCTCGATGGGATGTCATTCCATCACAAGGTTACCCCCCCCTCCACCAGTGGGTACCCATTTATACTCCTGGGTAGAGAGAGGCACTGTTAGTGTAACGTGTTTTGCCCAAGAGCACAACACAATGAATGACTCAGCCCAGTCTTGAGCCTGGAGCACTTGACATGGACTCCCTCACACCATAGGTGGCCCAAGCTCCTGATGTGAAATGATCATCTTGCAAAATAAGAGTCATAGTGTAATTATAACAGTTTACATAGAAATATTTACAACTTGGCTCTTAGGAATAAAAAATACAGTCAAATTCTCAATAAAAAATACCTCAACTTCCACAGTGTATCTCTTGTTATCTGACTGTTTTTTATGTTGAAAACAGCCCATTTTAGTGAGATATCCATTTATAGGTTTACTATGTACATAAGAGAAGCTCAGCAAACCTGGAAATGGATAACTCACTAAAATGGGTTCTTTTCAACATAATATTATAAGCAGTCAGATAACAAGCGATGCACTGTGGAAGTAAGGTGAGATATTTTTATTGAGAATTTGACTATATTCCTAAAAGCGGTCATAAATATTCCCATACAAATTCTTATAATTTCACTCTCTTATTTTGCAAGACAATCATCTCATGCCTGGAGCTTGGGCAGCCTGTGCTCACACTGTTCATTTGGCCACTGTGCTCCTGGTGAAGGAGATTACGCATCAATTTATTCAAATTATCAATAATTATTATTATCTTTAATATCTTTAATATATTATCAGATCATTGGCACTTTTCAAGTCAAATTGATAAAAGGAAAATCAAGTCAGATATAAAAAGAACATGATGACCCTTCTGCCTTCACAAAAGAAGTTATATAGCTCCCTGTGAACTAGAGCTAACCTGCCATTTCTTCCATGGTCAAATTCGATGTTGTTCCAGATCGTATGCCTTGTTCATTGGCTCTTGGCTGTGTTTCTGTTGGCGATCGCGATGAAGCATTCGATGGAATTGCTTCCAAAAGGCTACCATCGTCAAGAAATTCAGAATCACTATCGACAAGACTTGCTAAAAGGTCAAGATCGTCTACATCATGGTCTAAGATCAATAAAAATTACAAACCACAACTACATCAATTGATCCTTACAATTATTCCGAATTATTGCACGATTTCTCAGAGCGATCGTACAAAAAAATCAGTCATTTGCAATTTTAAGTATCCATGAATGCATCCAATCTTTAAAACCAAGCAAAATTACCTTCCATATCGATGAAAATGAGAATAAATATCCAATCAGGATCAAAACATTCCTTCAAACTGCACTGCACTACTCAACCTGGTCATTTTTCCCGCGTAAATCATAAAGCCGCTGGCGTTAAGCACAGTGGACGTAGGAAGATAATTTATGCACACGCGCGGTGCTTGTGAATCTAATTACTTCCCTAGCAACCACATAGCAACAAACTGTGGAATTGAATGGAAGCT